GAGTTTCGAGACTACCAGTAAATCAGTAATATGAGATGTATTCACCCTATTTCGTTTAAGGTGATGAAGATGGTTAGGAATAGATGCAAGGGAAATTTGATCGAAAACGAATACATTTGGAAAATAAGGTGAAGAAAAGAATTTGCAGATTTAATCACGGTTATTATCTGTGTTCATTCCCATAGCAGTCACGCCATACTATGATGTCTTTTTTGGGACAGGGAGGCTCATCCACAAAGTCTCGGTTTCGCTCATCCATTGTTGACGAGAGAGGTTGAAATAAGGCATCGAGTCGAGAATAACTCTAACTTTGCGATCAGCACGCACATTGCGCATTGTGGGCGAATGAAACAAGTGTTTGCACCTTTTTAAGAGACCATGTGTTCGCAAACGCTGTAAACAGTAGCATAATCCACTTCTGCAGGCACAGAACTAGAAGCCTAAACCAAAAGTACTGTCATTTTTGACCACCGATTTTCCCACATTTGACTTTTAGTGCTGAATGGGACATTTAATGCAAATGCTCTGAAATATAATAATCATTAGTTGAAGAAATTGTCTACTGTCTCGATCAACTATTCGGCACCAGTCCAATGTGCTTTATTCTTTATATGCAAGGATTTAGGTGTTTTAAAAAAGTTATAAATGACATAATTAATAGAACTGCATATGGACAATAGAAAAAATGAAAATATGGATATGACTAGAGGCATGTAGGCAAATAAACATAAACAGAATGAGTGGGAGTGTTAGTAAATGATCGAATGAATGAAGAAATGAGATAATTATCGAGTGAGTGAATGGAATAATGCAGTGCACGATAAAGTATGGTTTTGGGATAAATCATAAATTGCAGGTTTCAAGTGAGATTATTTAGCAAGGCATTGTTCCGACTAACTAGTTGCTAAACTTACTTGATCGATTTTGTCCTTCGGATATGTGCTTGGAGGTTGTCGCTGTCCTTGTGAATGGAGATGATGATGATAATGGTGCTCGTATCTGTACTGCTGAATAGAACCTGGCCAGTAACGATGTGCTGGTGACATTAATTGCTGGGACTCTCTAGATGAGGGACCTTTAGTGCCTAAAGGCTTTCCAGACGTACCTTCCGAACAGTGTTCTGACGACCCCAAATCGACCTGCAGCCCAGGAGGTGGCACCTCCTCTTCCGATATAGTCGATAAGCTGGCCGGCCTCGAACCCGATTCTAAGGAGCCCGATTCTCGGTCTTGCATCGCCAACGCAAGGTCTAGATCGAGTACATTCACATCAAATGACTCAGACTGTAACAGATCTGCAGGAACTAGTTGCTCTATGTTTCGTGCAGATGAAGCAAAATGTAGAGCACCTCTTTTTGATCCAGCAGCCGCTGTTGCAACTGCGGTGGCTGCAGCAGCAGCAGCTTTGGCCGCCACCACGGCGATCCGCATGCAGCTGGCCAATGCAACCGCAGGAGGCTCTTGTGAACTTGCGTTAGGTGCTGTAGTGATGGAGTTTTGGGTAGCGGCCGTCATTGTAGAATTGAGTGTGGTAACTTGGCCTCTGAAATTGTCCGAAAATGGAGACAAA